GGCTGAAAGCCCTATGAAGCGGTATATAAGTCTACTGCTATTGCTATTGCTACTGGGTTTGTGCACCGGAAGGACACAACCAGCCCTGCAAAGAGACTGGCTCTGCTCCCCACCCCAACAGCAGTCCCCTACCCTCGGCATCCCGGCCTCTGACCTCCCCATCCGGCTGAATTCAGTTCCAGGTGGGAGAGGCAGGGAGAGGATCAACCCAGCGCAAGAAGGGAGGCTGGCAGGGGAGCAGCTGCTCTTCCCGGATTGCCCCGCTGAGTTTCAGTAAGTCAGCACTTCGGCAGGGCAGGAACAGGCTCGACCAGACGCCGCTCCCTCTTCCCTTGCAGCCTCCGCGGTTGGCCAGAGTCACCCAAGGCGGCTGCCTCCCCCTGCGGAGGCTGGGGGGCACCTGCTGCTCTCACCTTGACGACCCCTCCTGCCGCCCTGGCTGCTCGCTGGAGGCCCCGCGGGGCATAGGAAACGCCCCTTCTCCTGCCTTCGGGGAAGCCGCCGCCCAACTGCAGGCAGAGGCGGACGGGGGCAGCGCTCAGAACCGGCCGACGGGCTGAGCCGCTTCCTCGGGGCCTCCGAAGGCGCAAGCGGAGCTCCTGCGCGCCCGATGCTCGCCCTCGCCACCTTTCTCCCAGTGGCCGCTGCAGTCGCTTGAGCGGCCCAAGTCAGCCCAGCCGGAGCCCTTCCAGGAGGGACCCCGAAGGCTCCGCCGCCTCTGCGCCCCCCAGGCAGGCGAGCCCCCCTTGAGATCCTCCGGTTTTTCTGCCACCCCCCGGGCAATCAGCCCCCCTCTCCAGCTGGCTCCAGACGGCTCGGAGACCCCGCATAAGAGCGGAGCATCGCCGCGTGGGCGCAGCTTCCGCCCAATGGGGAATCCAGGAGGGGCTGCTCGCACCACGAGCCACGCGCAACCAAGACCTCCGCACAGCCGGGGGTGGGGGCTGAGCCCGGACTCCCAGGAACCGCCCGGTACGGGCCTCCTCTACGAGGGGACCGGCGACCCGCAGGGACTCTCCGGAGGCCGCAACTGTGGGGACTCCTCCTGGGCCGGGAGGGACAGGCCGAGCCTCACGGCGCTTCCGTAGACCCCCTTGCCTGCTCCGGGCGAGGCTCCGGGAAAGGAAGCCGCGCGGAGCCTTCGCGCTCCCGTCCAAAGCGCTCCGGAGTTGGCCATCCCTCCGAGGGCAGCCGGCCGTCCCGCGTCGTCCCCCAAACCCGCCGCCTGCCCGGCCCGACGGGACTCACCCAGATTGACGAAGCTCATGACGGTGTCCGCGCCGTCGGCGGCTGCACTGAGCGCGGGGCTGTCCTCAGCGTCGTCCTGGCGGGCCAAGGCGCGGTACAGGCTCAGCATGAAGAGCGGCGCGGCGGCGGGCGGCGGGCCGGGCCGGCGCGTCTTGCGGGGCGCGGGCGGCGGGCGGCTGGGTGTGCCGGGGAGGCCCAGGAGCGCCAGCACCTCGCGCTGCAGCTCGCTGCCGCTCAGCCGTCGCGGGGCGGCGGGCGGCGGGGACAGCGGGCGGCGGGCGAGGGCCTCGCGGGGGTGGGACGCCGGCAGAAGCGCGGCGATGAGGAGCAGCGCCGCTGCTACCAGGCCAGATGAGAGCCGCATGGCGCCCGCGCAGCGCAGGGGGCTCCGAGTGTCGCGGCCGTCGGGCGTCCCTTTAAGCGGAGGCGGGGGTGGGGGCACGCGATTCGCCTCGGCGGATGCGATGGGGGCCCGCGGGCAAGGAAAGGCAGGCGGCGGGGCAGCCTGGCCGTTGATTGTCACTGCCACGTCGCGGCCCCTACCCGCTCGTCCTGCGCCGTCCGACCTCGTCCTCCAGCTCCGGCCGCATATGGGGGACGAGCCTCCCGGCCGCCGCTGCACCTCCGACGGCCCCGGCGAACGGGAAGGGCGGGGAGTTCCCGTCCCCAAGAGGCAGCCGGGACTCCTCTGCCTGCTGGAGCCCAGCCCCGGAGCTGCCCTCTGCCGAAATCGGGATGCCGGTTGGGGCTCGCCCTCGGATCCCGCCTTCCGCCTCTGGCCCATCGAAGCTCCGTCCGCGGAGTGACTGGACACGTTCCCGGCTTCCAGGTACTCGAAGGCGTTCCGGCGTCTCCCAGTCCAAAGGAGCCGTTTGAGCGAGGGGTCGAGGAGCAAGAATCCAAATCCCCTGCGGAGGTTCAGGACTCTGAGCACCGCTTGTAGGTCTCATCCTCTGTGGGCCGCCCAGAGCAGAAAATCAACTTCCCAGAAAGCTAAAATCTACTTTTATTGAGCTTGGCTGCAATAACCGAATGTTTCAGATCTGATTGTGCTGAAGCTCCTTCTCCTCCTCCTGCTGAGCCTGACCCCCTTTGGACTTTGAAAGAGCAGGCTGGGAAGATAGGTGTTAATTTTTATTTGCATTACTTATTAGGGAATCAGGATAACTTTCCCTGAAAAGTAACAAAATTTTGCTACATTATGTACAAGGTTTGCCCACAAATGGTTGCCCAGCTCATTGATGTCAGAGGATAATTTTCCTTTGTTTTACTGAATACATTTTTATTGGTCAATGATTGAAGTACATTTCTGTTCTTTTCTGTGGACAGCCAAGAAAACAGAGCAAGTCAAACAAATCATTCCAGTTCTCCCTGGAGGCACCAATGAGCAGCTTCAAATGATTCTACTTTGGCTCCATTCTGCTCTCTGCAGAAGAAAGGCTCCAATGCTGGGAAAGTGGAAGGAAAGACCAGCAGCAGAGTTGGTCTCCGTGATGGTGGCAATGAGAGCACCATTAGAGGACCATTAGAAGTTGGGGAAGGGAACCGCCTGGAGAAAATCTTTATCTATGGGGTTCCTATCATCCGACCCTGACTTGACAGAAGCCCACCTGAATGGATCCTGTTTACCTAGAAGTGCCCTGGAGCTCTCAGTGAAGAGAATGAGGAGGAGGAGGAACCAGGGAAGGTCATCCAGCTGTTATGGGAATCTAAGCATTGGCTGAGCTGCTTCTATGAATCAGGCTGACATTTGTGCCAAGTTGCTTGCATATTCGGCTTGGAGCATTGAAATAAGAAACTGGCTCCAGGATGATGGGGAGGTGCCTAGACCAGCTGAGGCTGCTCCCCTCCCCTGAGCCCCCAACGAAATGCTGGGGAGGCAGGAGAGCCTGGAGGACACCTCACTGACCACCCACTTAGACAAGGTGCTCTGTTAGCTTCCAAACGATGGGAGTCATTGCTGCAACTAACAGTATTAATTCCCGATGTGGAAAGGAGTTGGGCTAATGGAAACTGTCCAGGGTTAGTTAGCATTTCTCGACTGTCCACTGAGTGGGAAGGTAGCAGATGGAGGTGATAAAGACCATTTTTGAATGGTCACAAGTGGGGCATCTGTTCAAGGAGAATATTGTCTGGTAATAAGCTGGCCAGCTTCACTGGGCAGCCTTCGGCTGCATTACAAAGCAGGTTTTGTCCTCCGTGTTTGGAAGAGCTGACGAAGACCAAGCTGTTCTGAGCAGAGCAGCCAGATAGAAATTTTAGCTGCTTTAACCATGAGGAAAGATGGCTGCAGTTGTACAGCAGCACTTTTCCCATCCCTGAAAGGAACCTGGAAACTAATTTGCAGAGTGCAGGAGAAGGAGTTAAATCCGTGACCCCAAGTCAGCATCAGGGAAAAAATCTCGGAGTCTGAGACAGGAACCAGGGGCTCAGAGTGGGGTTTTCTCCCATTGGAGGAGCTCAGACAGAAGGGAGAGGGCCATCAGATGCACGCATGCTCGGAGCAGATGGGGGATTTGGTGGTAGTGGGTTGCTTTATTTTAGTCAGAAAGCAGAGGTGGCAGACAGGAGGGAGAAAGAGGAAGAGCTAGGAAACACCACGCGAGCAATTTCTGTCCTATTTGGGACTTTCCAGATTGTTAAACCTTAAGCCAGGCAAGAAAGGAAGTGGGTCTAGCTGCTCCATGCATCTGAAGAGTCCCAAATAGGACAAAATTGGTTGTGTGGCACCACCTGGTGGCCATTGTTAACTGAAAACACCATGCAGGATATTCAGTTAGTCCTTGACTTACAACAGTTCAACAGCACTGAAAAAAGTGACTTATGAACATTTTCCACACTTATGGCTGTTGTAGCATCCCTACATGATGCATGGTCATGTGATCAAAATTCAGATGTTTGGCAACCAACTCATTTATGACTGCTGCAGTATCCTGGGGTTGTGAGATCATGTTTTGTGGGGAACTCAGATTCATGTGATATCTGTACTAACTGCAGTGATTCAACCACAACCAAGAAACAACCACAGCAAGGAAGTTTGCAAAACGGGGCAAAACTGACTTTTAACAAATGTCTTAGCAACAGAATTTTCAGGCTAAATTGTGGTCCTACATCGAGGACTACCTGTACTGTGTGAAAGGGGAAAAAAACCATGGGCAGGTAAAACCTCACAGAAGGCATGACTTCATGTCACATCCGCATCTTAAGGGAAGGCATCCAATTCTGAAGCCTCCGTTTCCTACTGGAGTAAAGAGGGAATCCGCATCAGCTCCAGGCCTCTTTGGCTTTAGGAACCGCCTTATGGTGCCAGCCCTTTTGGAAATTGCCTTCTCCGTCTTGGTGCCTTGCAGATACTTGCAGCACATACGGACCATGGTAATTGAGGATGATGCACGTGGACTTTGGGGAGAGCATCTCCAGAAGCGGCCTGCGTGATTACAAGCTGCCTCTGCTATTGGCCACGGGAGAAACTGTAGGGTGGTGCCAAGCCTTCTCCGGAATTGGCTGGATCCCAAGCTGACCGCCTTACGACTAGCGGAGCAGGGATACTCCAATTAAGTGGGTCTGCTGCCTTCAGTTCTTCGAAGGTGCTGATCAGGCGCCAGCAGATGAATCCAAGGGTTGGGTCAAAGAGGGTTGGTGTCAGCCTGGGCAACCCCCTCCCCCTACTTCAGCAGGTGCTGCAGGCATCAGCCTCAGGACAGGGAGGACTCCGACCAGTGGCCTCTTCCAACTTTCTGGGCAGCATAAAATAAGAGACACCTTGCTTCACTTTTATTACTGCAAGCAATTTTAATACAAAACATGTGTTTGTTTTTAAACAATTCATTGGTAGAGCTTCTGGTTCTGGCTCAATTAAACCAACTGAGAGAATCACACAGCAAAGTGGTCAGTCTGAGCAGGGACAAGAGTACAAGTGAATAAATACAGGAAGACCAGGTGGCCCCCAACCCCTTTTGCACGGGGGTCTCTCTTCCTCCACAAAGGAGAGTGGGGGCGTCCAGAGCCAGGGGGTCTGCTGGTGATGCTCCTCCACCTTCCCAAGAGTACGTGGTGGTGACGGTGGCGGTATCGAAGGCAGTTGGCTGCTCCAGAGCAGAGGCTCTCCGGGCTCCTGCTGGCCAGACAGGCCCGGACCAGCCTAAGAAAGCCATCTAATTGCAGTCAGTGAACTAAAACCTAAAGTCAGCTCCTTCACTCGTGGTTCGCCTTTTGGAAATGTGTTATCCTGTGACTAAACAGAAGCAAATTTAAGATCCTCCCACCCCCTCACTGCTAAAACCACACGATTTTACCTCCCTACAATGGTTCTGCCCTTGTAATTCCCCTACAAATATTATTCTTTGAAAGCTTAACGGGCTTTTCATTTTGCAAAGTACAGCATTGTAGTGAAGTTCTTTATTCAAATGAAACATGTGCAAAGGTCCGTTTTCAAGCTGTCTTCAGGTAAAACCATAGGAATTTATTTTTAAAATTGGAAACAAGCCCCCTCACCATGCATTTCTCTCTTATTGAGGTATCTGTGATTGACAAGGAGAGAGAGAGAAAATAAAGTTCCTTTCTTATGTTGGATCTTCAGATGTTGCTCTTAAATATAATTTCTCTTGCTGAAACAGCACGTTAAATTTTTATAAAGATGCGTTTAGGAAACAATCCTAAAAGATAATGCAGGAACATCTCCTGCACTGCACAGAAATCCTATTTATATCATTTGTTTGTTTTTACATTTTCACATCTTGACCTTTTGCTTCTCTCCCATGTTTCAGATTTCCCCCTGGGCCCCCATTGCAAAGAAGGCAAGTTTTATCTACATAAATATTCACATGAAAAAGGAACCTATAAAAAAAAGAGAGAACCAAATAAGGCAGCTTCATAACACAATTTTCTTTTACACTTTTAACAATATAATTTCTCCCATGTAGAATAAATATACATCCAATGTGTGAAGCAGGGTTAAAAACTGGACACAGGTTTCCGTTGTCTGTGCAAAGCTGGGCATCGTGTGGATGCTGTATTATCTCTTGGGGCCAGGAGATTTGGCAGTGCTTGTTTTCTTGGACATGGTGGGGATCTTGGAGGGCTTGGTCAGGCCTCGCCGGGAGCCACCCTGTCCCCCTGTTGCACTGCTCTCCGAAGTGTCTGAACAGGCCGATTGCGTCTCCAGCAGATCAAAGTCAGAGGCGTCGCTGCCTCGCCGGCTGCTGGTTCGGCTCCCTGCGTGGCTGCCTGCACGGCTGGTGGGACGGCTGGCCGTTTTCTTAGGATCTGAAAGTCAAAGACAAATGTTTACATCCCAAGGGAACCTTGAGGGAATTTAACAGCACTTGCGTTTGACCCTCCCTCCAAAGAAATAGGCCTCCCTCCCCTCCGCATAAAAATAATTCTGCTTGGCTCCTCCTGGGCAACTACAGAGGGCCATCCGTGGTCTACCAACAGGATGGGAGGCCATGCTGAGCTCCCCAACCCAAAGCATCCGCCTCTGGTTACCACACCTGGTGCTTCCAAATCTAGCTCAGAACTTACCGGCTCGACTGGTTTTGGCACCGGAAGAAGCTGGTGAGGAACTGTTACTGGTGTCCCCAGCGAGAGACGTCCGGCTGGAGTGGAAAGTGGGCCGTTTCAACTTGCTGCCCGAGGATGGAGCAACCTAAAGAGGCAAGCAGGTTTTGTTACGGAGCCACAGGAAGAGCCTCAGGGGAGCCCTCTGCTGCAGCAGTAGCTGCCAATCTCTGCATCTTAAAGGCAAAGAGTAGACAGGCTTCACACATGGCCTTGGGGAGGCTTGACCAAGCGTGTTGTGTGAATTCAAGCCAAGCAGATGATTATACGCCATGCGCAAACTGAAGGCCAGCCTCCCAGCGTCATCACTGTTGTGATTTTCCAGAGGCCAGGGAGGAACGCAGGAAGGAGAACATGAGGTGCTTCATCAAACTGCTGTCCTAACTGGAAAAAGGAAGAGGAGCCATGAACTGGCCCTGGACTTGAGGAATGGCCATTTGGAGATTTAGACGGCTTCCAAATGCCTGCTTAGAACAAGGCAGGACCACCACAAACTCTTGTTTGTGCATCCCTATTAAGAGTGCGCGCGCACACACACACAGACACGGAAGTACGAGGTCCGAGGGCCCAGCGCAAGGCGAGGCTCCTGTCAGCCTTCCTTGGAAGGGAGCGTGCTTCAGGGTCTAGAAGAAGTCTCTCACATAAAATAAATCTGAAATAAAGTTCAGTGCTTGGACTGTAGTCTGAACATGTACCACCTCTGAAGTATTATGGAATCTTCAGATTCTATTTATGATAACTTATAAGCCACAAGAGGATGTTGAGGATCTGCAGGAGGGTGGCACTCAACTGCCAAGGTGGCACAAACGGCTGGGCCCTTTCTGGGCTCTTTCAGGGAGGCAGAAACTGTTATGGGAATGAAAACAAAGAAGGGCCCACATAGGCTATATCCCAAACTTTTAGATCAGTGGGGCTGACAGGCTTGGGAATTTGGGAGTTGAAGCTCACCCATCAAGTTGCTGGGAAGTTAAAAACCACTTAGAAGAAATTAATAATTAAACACAAATTAAGAGACACCAATTATTCAAGCATGAACTTCTTTTGTTCTCCAACCTTTATTTCTGAAAAAGGCCCCGGTATTTATTATATTTATTTATTAAGCTTGGGCAGCTTTTTCCTCTTGGTTCTTGGAAGATGTTCTTAATTCAAGACGATCAGCCTCAAACTGGACCAGAATGCCCAGACACAGGGAGACATATAAATGACCCCACAAAAAATGGTGCGGGACTTGAACTTGGCAATGGGCAATCCTGAATAGGACCTGCACCTCCCATGGCGTCTGCCGGGACCCTCTGTATCAATGGAGCCTAGCATCCTCCTCTCGGCGGGAGTGTGGGTTAACACCTCAAACCGTAGATCGCATCGTGACCGACTGTAAGCTGAGGGCATCTACCGGTCCAGTATCTGATTTTTTCAACATAAACAATGCTGCGCTTCAATGGTTTGATGGCCTAGTGATTGGTACGTGAGCATTGACCCTTTTAACATTTATATTTTATTGGGCTCTACTGATCTAGTTGAAATGTTAACTTATATTGCTAGTCCATGCCATATGCCAAATAATAACACAAATCGGCCTCTGCTCAGAAAGCCTGGGGAGCGCAGGAGCTTTGGCCAAGGGAGCAAGCAGGAGAGAGGAGGCTGACTCAAGTCCCTCCTTCAGCCCACCGGAGCCATACTCTACCTCAGAAGCAGACAGGTGGAGGTCGGCATTATCGCAGCCCCTCGGGGGGGTACCTGCCTTGCTGTTTACCAACCAGGGTTTGTCATAACAACGGGTGAAGTGATGTGGAGTCTGTGAAATGGACAAACAAATGAGTGGGGGAGGGAGGGAGGGAGGGAGGAGTGACCAGGTCAGAAGAAAATAAAACAGAAAATAATATAAATCTTAAAATTAATAAATAATAATAACAACAACAATAATAATGGTGTTTGTAATGCATTTTTGAATGTCCAGTTGACTGAGTTTCATGTTTAATGAATAAAGTATATAATAATGATGATGATGCTGATGAACACAAACCTAGGCTGACACAGGGCACACCTTTTATTGGTAAAAAGGGGAAGAAAAATCATATTCCATGTTGTGGGGAAGAACAAAAAAACTGTTCGTGTGAAGAAGAGGAGGAGGAGGAGAAACCAGCCTTCCTCTCTTCTCTCTGCCTTCCTGAGTGTGGAAAGGCACAAATGGGAGGATCTGAGGGAAAGTGCAAGCGGAACGGAGGCTGTGGAAAGGCTCCCTGGCTCAGCCGAGCAAGCAGCCTCCGGCCAAGGAGATGATCACAGGCCCCACCTGTGGTGCTTCTGGGGCAGAGTTGGGGAGGGGAGGGGGCTTCCCCAGCTACCTGCTCCACGACTCAAGGGAGACTTACAGAAGCCCTTCGTGCTTTCAAGGCTGAGGGAAAAGGCCCCGTTGCCAAGGCGAAGAAAAAGCCGGCTTCTCACCTTGGTCCCGCTGGCAGGTGTGGCAGGGGAGGATGGCACTGAGGGGCAGCTGTGATTGCTCTGGCTGGCGCTCGAACTGGACCGTGTGGGCGAGGCGGCCCGAGAGGAAGGCTTGGACCTCCGGCCACGGGACCGGAATGGTGCCATTCCCTGAGATGCGCCCTCCGGTAGAATGAATTTTTCTCGAAGTTCAAGGTTAGTCCTGCCTCGAGCTGTAAGAAAAGAAGAACACAAAATACAGATGACGAAGCTGAAGGTACCTAAATGGAAGAACGAACTAATGGTCCAGGTTTGGAGTCTGCTGGAAGCATGGCCTCTTTTTCTTCCTTTCTTCCAGCCGGACAAAAGGACCTCTTCAGCCATTTAGATTTGCAGTACTGATTGCGGCAGGAAAAGCCCCCCCTCCCCCCCCCTGCAGGCTACACATCATGCAAAGCCCCAACCACTCAGCTGACCCTTGCCCCCTCTCCACATCAAGGCTAGGAGAAGATGCATGGCCTTGAAGCTGAGAGCAGGCATCCTTCTGAAAGCCCCTCCTCTGTCCCACATGCCGAAGGGGGCTCCCATCCAAAAATTCTTCTCCTCGTGTCAGCCCAGCAAAGAAGCCCTGAAGTTAAAACTGGAGTGAGCCAGTGGAGGCTACGGGGCTGTTGGAGAGGGAGAGGCAGGCCTGAGACTTCCTGTAAAGGCAGGCCCGGTGCCCCTAATAAGGCCAAGGAGAGCAGCATCAGTCACAAAAAGGATCAAAATGGGACGGGGTGGTGGGGTGGGTGAGATGCAGAGGCTACAACGCTTGGCCTCTCAGAATCTGCTCTTCACTGGGATTAGATTGCTCACATTGGCTGTAAAAGGACTTATGAATCTTCTGGAGCACCAAGAGCCAGAAAAAGGGATCTTGTCGGGGCAATCCCTGAACAATACTCCCACCTGAAAAGTTCTTCTGGCTCCCCAAAGGCTGGAATAAAATTAACTGGTGGGATCAAGAAATTGGAACACCCCACCCCCACCCCCACCCAGCTTATGAGCAAACGGGTTAATAGAATCTACCCTCCTTGGAAAATAAACCCAGCCAACGGAAGCACACAGATTGGTAGTTTGGTTAAGTAAGCCACACCGTGCAAAAGCCATGTAGGATCAGTGCAGCCTACCCAAGACACACGCAACGACAGCTGGGTCTTGTTCTGGAATTATGGGGAGCTAAGCAACAATTGGCCACACACAGCAACAGGAATGTAGTAGTCCCAAAGCCAAAAGGGCTTGGAAGCCCAGGGCCCTCCCATCCAACGCATTCCCTTGGTTTTCCCGTAAATTTGCCTTCAACACCCAGGACTCTCAGCCAAATACCTGGAGGCGCCAGGTGAGAGAAAAAGGTGGAGGTTTTCCAACCGGGAGCATCCAGCCAGAAACGGTGGGAGGAAAGGCAAGTATGAACCTGCCAGAAGCATCACAACTCCAAAGACCGAGGAAAGGATATTTATTGGCATATTTATTGGATATTACAGGCTACTTGTGACCCAAATCAGTGCCTGCTGAAATTTCAACCCGAAGAGAGGAAGGGATACTAAAGGATAAAAAGCATTTCTCTTCTGCATCCCCAGAGGAAGGGAATGGGGCTGAAGTGGGTGGACTTCAAAACTGTTCGGAGTAGCTCTGCTGCCTGGAGAATCCCAGCAGTTCCCATACCTGGGGCTGCTGGGAGGCCGGTCAAAGTTTGGCAAGTATCCAGGAATTGTGACTAGTATTAAAATACAGTCTAGGTTGCTACTTGGTGCAAGGTAGAGATCCTGGAAAGGCTGAAACCAGCCACCTGCACTCAGGGCTTATGGGGCACCGTTCAGAGTGCCCTCAACCCTGGCCACCCAAACAGCTTTGGCCAGGCCTCCTAAGGGCAGGACTCCTGAGAGGAATCTGTCCAAAGTCAGAAGCCGCATGAAGCACCATCTGAGGAGGCTTCCCCTGCATTTAGAAAATCAGCAAATGTGACTCTATTGTTTTGTTACAGTTACTATTACTTTCCATCTGTTTTTCTAACTTTTTGAATTCCACTTTATTTGTGTTTTGTTCTGTCTGTTCAAGTGGTTCCCGGAGAAGAAAAGCAGAGAAGGAAGCGTGCAAGTAAGGACATGGCATCCACACAGGGTCTCACTCCCCCTCCCGACTCAGGGTCACCCATGAGGGTAAAGCTGAGCCCAAGGACCCGGTGGGGGGAAGGCTCCAGCCAGTTGGCCAGTAAGAGCTCTGCACCCCCTTCCTTCCTTGGCCAAGCACAGCACAGGCTCCAGCATTCAGGACCAACAGAGGCAGGTTAGAGTAGCAAAGCCATTCCCAATGGGGCACTCAGAGAAAGGGAAGAAAAACCTCCAACCTATCGGAGAATGACTGGCAATCGAAGAGCTGGAGTCGGAGCGTTTGATTTTACTCCCAGGATGATGAACTAGAATAGAGAAAAGAAACAGGTGCGGCAACAGGAGGGAGCAGCAGGCAAGGAAGGGAGCTCCTTTTTGCGGCATGCAGGGGGGCCGTGGTCAGTGGCTGAGGGAGGAGAGAGAGACCACTCTGGGGGCAAAGGGCTCCGGGGCCTGTCTGGCTGGGTGCTCGTGGCCGAGAACTTTTTTTCTCAGGGGCCTGATGTTGAGCTATGCTTCCTAGGCTGATCTTCCGGGGACCCGGGGACCCTCCAGAGCAGCTGCCCTTCCTGCTCCCCAGTCAGCAGTCGCCTGTATTGGAGCTTTCTCTGAAAAAAACCTTCCTGAAGAAGCAGCGCATCTCCTACCTCGACAAGGATCATTTTTCACCAAGAACTCGTCCAGGGCCATCCATCCTCCGCCAACACGGACCATGACGGTACTACGCAGGATACGGACCAGCCGCAGCTGCTGGGAATCCCCAAACTGTTGCAAAGATGCAAAGAAAGCACCGGTTTCATTGCAATGTCACAGTAAGGCATGTGTGTTCTTCTCCAAGCAGGAGAGGTCTATGTCTGAGTCACCCCCACAACCCCCATATCCCTTTGAAAGTGACAGAGGCAATTATTTTATTAAAAGATCATACATTTGATTAAGTGTATTATTCTTATTAAATCAATTAATTACCATCTTTCTTAATAATTAATTTCTTAATATTTTTAATGATTAAAAAAGTGGAATGGTCCAATGCTCCCTGGGTGGCAAAAGCCCATTTTGCTGGACTCCGCCTCCTAGGTGACCAAGGACAAACAAGAAATCCCAGCCAGCCCCAAAAGGCTGCAGGAGAAAGATGCCAAAAGATGCTGGGGGAGGTGGGGCAGGCTGGGGGTCAGCTCCAGGGCTCCTGGCCAGGCCTCTCTCCTGCTCGGCAGCTGCCCAGGTCTGCTGACCCCAAATGGGCCCTTTCCCTTTGGGCCAATTTGGGCTGCCTAGAAACCCGAATTCAACCTTTCTCCTCAAGAGATTTGTGTCTTTTGGAAACTGCTTGGCTTCAACGGTCAGCTGACCAAGCCCCCTCCCAAGAGACCCCCCTGGAGGTGCCTCTCATCAGGAAGGAAAGCAAAACCCTCCACCAAAAAGCTTTCAAGCCTGACATCCTCTCTCCCCCACCCCCAGCAAAAGCGTGATTGGCAGCAGCCAGAGACAGGCGGCCTCAAGGAGCAGCAACCTCCAAGTATTGATTAACTGATTAACTGCCAGGATCAGAGGCAAAGACAGCAATTTACTGATTGATGAAGGACGTCCCAGACCCCAAGCCATCTGTTTAACCTACAGCAGCACCTTGAGTTCCCATCAGCCTTCACACTGGGGGCGCTTTTAGCCCCATAAACTGCCCTTTCTTTCCCCCAAATATTTCAGATGGAAAACAGGGCATTATCACATCTCGGGGGTCATGGACATATGGATGGAACCATCATTTCCATCCCTCCACAATTCTGGGTAGCTGAACTATTAACTTTTCCCTCCTTCAGCTGATCTGTGTGTCAGAATCAGCCAAAAAAGGCCGGCTGCCGACATTCACTGCCACCCCCTCCCCAAACAGGCAACAGGATGCGACCCTGAACTCATTGGAGAGGCAGAAATGAGACCAGGAATTTCTCTGCAGCAGCTGTAATTTCTCTCAGCCGGAAGCCAGAGTCCCCACAGAGGCTGCCTCCGTTGTTGAAAGGGCCCTGCAGGTGGTTGGAGATTTAGGGCTACTTGTGGGAGGGAGTTTTCCAGAGGAATTGGGGATTTGCATTGCCAAAACGATGGGAAATGAATAGGAACCCATGGAAAGAGGCTGATATACAGAACCTTTGGTCAAACTAGCAGTTCTGTGCTGTGAACACAAAACTCTGGGCCAAAGTCCCCGGCTGAGCCACTCCCAGCTCTCCCCAGAGAGGACGGAAGCTGCAGGAGGGATCCTTGGTCAGGGTAGATGTGAAGGTCCCTGGGCTTCCCAAGATATGTTGGAAAGTTCAGCCGAAGCAACGGCTGCCGGTTGGTCAACAGTCTATGGCCCAAGCCCTGAACTCTGCTTCCTATCATCAGTCCGTTTTGTGTACCCAGAACAGCCCCAGATGGGTGCACAGGCAACTCTGTCCAGCTGCTCTCTTCCATTCTTTTAACTCTGCCTGGAATTTCTGAGACTGAGAATTTCTGCCCGGCTCATTGCCAGGACAGCCCAATGGCCATTTCAGATGTTCCCTTAAAGCAAGTTTTCAGTTCTCCAAAAGGTCTAAAGTCTACGTTGGGTGCAGATGGGTGCGTGTGTGATTCTGTGTTTATTTTTACAATTGGTGGTCACTGCCTGGTTGCGTCACTGTATTTCTGAATATACCAGCAACTCTGTCAAGTTAATACATCCACCAGCACTGCAGCCATAGTTAGGAAAAGGCCGGTGTGGAAACAGACACGCAAATTATACATGCACATGTTGGAAGGAGAATTAGCTACAGGAAAACGCAGAGGCAGCACTGCAAGGCTCACTGTACCTGGTTGCCGAGGAAGAACTAGAGAGGAGGAGGTGCAAACGGGAAGAGAAAGGGAGAAGAGAGAACACATCACACAGGGTTACATCACACAGGGCAACAATGCTGAGACTCTTTTCTGTGCTTCCTGGACTGCTAAACTGCTATCCCTCCGTTTATGTATTAAAAGAAGGGAAGGAAGGCCAGCAGAAAGGGCGGTGGGGGGGGGGTCTCAAGTGGCGGGGTCCCACGGCTTCCACCCCTCCCCCCAGCCCTCCCTGCAAGAGTGGCAACAAGTGCTCTGTGCCTGGGTCCAAAGGGGCTTTCCTCAAAAGAAGCAGCTCCTGAAGGACAAATAAAGCCCAGTTGCCTTTTGAAGGAAGCCCTTTTGGGACAACCCCGAGCTGGACGACTGAGAACCTCCAGAGATGCTTTCTGCCTCCTTGGCTAAAATCCAGTCAGGTTAAAGGACAGAGAGAAGCTCAGACGGAGGGTAAATTCCAGAAGCTTCAAGCAAAAATCAGAAAGAGGATAAAGCTCCATTTCTGAACCCATTTTTCTGGGAGCATCCAGAAGAAAACTCTTCAAGCCTGAAAAAGGATTATACTATAAGGCAGACCCCCCCACCCCAACACAGAGGCTTCCCAGGCACAGAAGAGAGGGATGGTTCATGGGGACAGCTTTCTCCATACCCCTTGCAGAGCACCATGCCCCCCCCCCCCGCCTCTGGAGCTGCACCAGGGGGGCTATGTCTGTGGGTACCAGGCCCTGCTTCCTGACAGGGTGGGCGTGTCTCCTTCACACAACAAGGGCACTGCACTGGCGGGCCATAGTCAGCCTGCTGAGGGCCCCAGATCACAGACAGCCCCCATCCTGGCTTCTTCTCCTTACCCGGTACTTGTTCTCTCCAATCTGCTCCACTTGGAATCGCTTGGCACATTTGCACTGAGCCACCTGCCTTGTCACCTGTGAAGGAAGAGGAAGCAGGAAGAAAGGTGGTGGTGCATCTGCTTCGGGGTCGGTGCTGAAAGCTGACAACCCCACCCCCCTGCTTCTGGCGCTCATCCCACTCAAGCTCCAAGCGGGGTGAGAGGGGGGGGCTATCCACTGGGGCAGCCTTCGCTGCTATGGGATGATCTGGACCCGAGATCTTGGACTGCTGGGCCAACACCCACTGACCAGCGCTGGCTGGGCAAGGCTGCTCAAGTCCCGTCGTCTGTAATGGACGGCACAGGCCAAGTCTGGGTTTGCCCCAAAGGAGGGTGATCCCGAATGTCAGAAGCCCCACCAAAAGGAGTGATGAAGAGTGGGCAGAAGAGTGGGCATGGACGTCCTGTGCTGTACTTGGCTTCCCCTGGTCAAGCTGGGGAACCGGATGCAGGAAACCAGTCCCGGTTACGGTGGACAGGGGACCCACTCTGGCTGCATTTGCATACCCCAAAAAGAGCAGGATGCAGACTCAAAATAAAGTTCTACACATAATTAGTACCTATTGATTAAGATGAACTGCCAGTAAAAGAATGTGCCCCGATTAGACTGTCCTGGGAGGTGGACTAGATGACCTCTAAGGTCCCTTATGTTCTATGATTAAACTGTGAACATTCCAGTGGACATAGCAAAACGGATGGGGAAATGAAGGCTGGGAGAAATGCCTGGGAGGAGTGGGAAAGCTGGAAGGCTGCCAAGTGAGCGGGGCAGAGGAAGAAGGGACGTCTCCCTGGTGAATCCAGTTTAATCTATTCCAATGATTTTGACTAATCCCCCTGCACAAGCCTCCCACAAGAGAAGGGATCCCAGACTCTGAGATGCAAAGGGAAAAGGAGGCCATAAGGAGCAGTAAGTGGGAGGAATGCTTGCTGACTGCAATTCCACCTACTTCTTTCTCATGAAACCCCAGGCGTTTAGCAAGAGAAGAAGTTGGGGAGATAAGTGACGACACGCCATCTTGATCAGTGGCGACAGTGAGCTCGTTGCCTGCAGAGCCCCGTTTACTGTCTCTTCTCCTCCCGCTCCCCAACCAAGCCCATACCTCATCCTCGATTTTGTCCGCATCTGTTGTGGGTCGGTAAGCATCTTTGTTAGGGTGTAGAGCAGCTACAAACTCATAATAATCAATATAGCCATCCCCATCCCGGTCAAAGATATCGGCGACAGCTGTCATTTCTAACTTTGTCGTGGGGAATTCTGGGGAAGGAAGAGAAAGAGAAGAGATGGACACCAAGTCCCTTCAGAGAAGCTGTCAAAATGAGGGGCCCCTGGCAGCCTCCTCCCTTCCCCAAAAGGGCCTGCATGGGCACAGCCTTTGTTTCAGGGAAATAAGACAAGCAGACTCCATGGCAAGAGATGGAGCAGCCTGAAGCAAAGGGTTCATCGGGTTCCAGTTACTGTTAGGTGCCAGGCCAGCAGGGCTTTTGCCTCGTTCACCTCAGCTTTGAGAGACCCAGAGATAGGGGCGTAAGTAGCCCTGCCAGACCCAGCTCGCTCAAAGGGATTTCCTCTCATTGTTCATACCCTTCCTTGGGCATGTGGTGTGTTGTGCAAAGTGGGCAGAAATGTGGTTTTGGATTTTTTCCTAATACTGATATAAGCAGAAATAAGGAAGTGATGGCCAAAAACCCAGCCTTGTCCTACTGAGTTTGCTGCAGAGCAGCAGCACTTAAATGGATGCGCAGACGGACCTGCTGCCCGTCTTCCACCCAAAAAAGCTTGGCTTTTTTGGGTGGAAGGTTGTAACACTGCACAAAAGGTGGGACTATTTGAAGCGAGCCAGTAAGGTCAGCCAAGCTCAAAGCCTGGGAAAGTGGAAGAGCCCTGATGAGCTGACCATCCCAACAAACCTCAGGGAGTCACTGCAGAAAGGCTTCAATCCCGGGTCTTATGGAAATGCCTGGAGAATTCAGAAAATGCCAAGCTGTGTTTCCTTTCGAGTTGCCTTTCACTGGGCAGAGAAGGTCTCTGAAGGCAGCCCTCGCAAAAGGGTGCCAAACAATCCAGATTCCCACCCACCCCAACCCACCTCCAACAGTTGTGTAAAATGGTTCCTTGGCCAGGCTTAGCACTCGGGATCCCCTATGGGATCTTGGGATGATCAGCCCCGCAAATGTAAAGAGAACCAAGTAGGTCAGAAGGAAGTAAATGGAAGGAAGGGGAACAGAAGACTTCCTCTTGCAGTAAAGATTCCGGGGATAGAGGGAGGGGGAAGCAAGGAGAGAGGCTGGGGTCCCTCCCGCATGCTTCTCTCTATCCTCACCCCCACTCCCACCCTGCCATGAAGCTGCAGCCTGACCTCCGTTAAGTTACACATTTTGTAGCCTAATAGTGTCACTTTAAGTGATTGGGGGAACCACCGTGGGATATCCAGAAATCCCTGCACAAACAGCTGCACCAGACAGGAAGACCCAGCCATTCTACTTTCCATGGTGGCACAATGGCTACAGTTGCAGGCTAATTCTACTGACTGCCAGCAGTTTGATCCTGACTGGCTCAAGGTTGACTCAGCCCTTCATCCTTCCGAGATCGATAAAGTGAGGACCCAGATTATTGGGAGCAATAGGCTGACTCTGCAAACCACTTAGAGAGGGCTGTGAAGCTCCGTGAGGCTGCTGCTATTCCACCTGCCAGCTTTCCAGCGCTTGAGCCTGCAGCTCAGCCTGGCTGCCACGTGAGAATGGCTCTCTGCCTCTGTGCCAATCAAGCCCAGGGTCTTGGAGTGGGCAGAGAGAGAGAGAGACTTCTGAGCCAGGGAGCCAGCCTTCTTGCTACTCAGCTGCCCCTGTCACAGTAATCGAAGGAAGACATGGAACAAGTAGGCACTCACTAGAGGCCAGGATCCCATCAATGAACTCCTGCCGGGTGATCTTCCCATCCTGGTCTTTGTCGATCCGCCGGAAGAAGTCCATCACACGAGATTTCTTGTGGTTCATCCAGCGCATATATTTCTTCCGCCACACATCAAAGTCAAAGTTTGCAAATTCTTTCAACTTGGAAATAGAAGGGGGGGAAATTATGTGCTCTGTTCACACAAGATACTTAGTTGGTCAGTTAAAGACACATCAGATCCATTGGCCCAACTTGAGCTTATTTTGCTAGACTTAACCTTGGATAGAGGTCTTCTGAAGCTTACTCTGTTGAGTGAACCCAGGCTGTGTTCAGGATACTTTTTGCAGCTAATAGAGTTGGTTTTCATATCCACTTAAGCATATTCTGTAAACTCAGCCACAAAAGAGCCCCAAATGGGCCATCTTGAAAAGCTTTGGGGAGCAGCTCTCAACCTTTTCTTCCAAGGTCCAGAGCAGACCTATCCTTCCCTGCACTAGCCCAGGGACATAAGTACCATCGCTTGAAAGGTCTCCAAATTCCCATAATGGGGCATCCTTAGGGTGTGGAAGGCTCCCTGGAGTTGTGTCTATGTGTGAGAGGGTAGGATGGAAACTTCATCTGCCAAAATGAGAATATCAGGAATCCCAGCCAGTTCTCTGCACCCAGTCCCAATTGTGGGAGTTGCATCTTTCTCTTTGTGAGGTGACAACAGAAGAAATGTATTGATTGCCGAGCTTTAGGCCTGCTGTTATTTCTGGAACTGACCAGGAACTCTTGTGTGTGGCAGAGGTTGACACTTATTTCATGGCACATTTCTACAGTTGGAGATCTCCAAGTGGGCTTAAGCATAAACCCCGAGGAATGGCCAAGAGATCTAGGAGGTGTCAGTTTTTAAATGGCTTCCAGCCTAGATGAGGAAGCGGATGGAGAATGGGCTGGGAAGACAGAAGGGCAAGGTGGCAGCTGACGGGGGAGGAGAGGGATGGGCACCAGCCTTGCCCTATTGAACCTGAAGCCAAAATCAGCCCCAGCTTTCAAATCCTGCACCCACCCCCACCCCCACTTGTCCGAGGCTGCCCTGCCCACCTGCAGAAGAGGATGCTCACCTCTTCTAGCCTGTCCAGGGCATCATTGAGCTTGCGCTGCCGCTCCAGGGCCAGGAGCCACACCTGCTGCCAGCGTGCGGAGAGCTGGTTGATGCGCGGGTTCTTGGCTTCGGACTGCGATAGGATTGGCAGGGGCGGAGGGGCTGCCTGGTTCAAGGGCTTTCCTGGAATAAAAAGCAGAGGAGCTGAAAAAAGCCAAGCCAAGCCAGAGCACAGAAAAGGGGGAAGGAAAGGAGCAGAGAAGAAAATGGGAAACATTCCAACCCCCCCCCCCCCCAAAAACTCTGCCAAAACTTGAGGATGGGTGAGATGACTTTGTTGAGATCTGGGTTCTGACAGGTAGGACCAACTTTACGATAGACCATTACCATTCAGAGGCTGAGCCTGCACGGAATACACTGGATTGCTCAGCAACTGCCAGCCCCAGGCAAGGAGCCACAGCAGGGCTCTCGGCAGGTGTCCACCTCACCCCTGGCACTAGTTGCTGGCACCCCAAGTTATAACAACTTACTGTTGCTGCGGGATTTTTCCATGAAAGGGCCGTGAGTTGGCTCAGTCGTTTTCCTCTTATATGTTTTGGTGACACGGTCCACATCTGGCTGCTTCCGGGTCATCTCTTCCATGAAGGACTGGCAAGAGAGAAGATGCAACAGTTTGCCAAAGTCCAGCTACTTTTCTCAGCCTCCCTTTTGGAACATTAAAGCTGAAAACCTCGAGAGGCAGTGGTTGCAGCCCCACTGCTGGCAAGGTCTGCAGTCCATGCCAGGCACTGAGCATTTGCGCCACTCACGGTGACCAATGCATCCGATCGGAAGGACGGATACTGTTCTCCTTGAGGGAGGGGCCAGGAGGACACAGGGACGCCTGTTACCTGGTGCTCTGCAATGAGGGCTTTGACCTGCTCGATATTCTGGGGCTCCTGGTCCCGCTGGATCAGCGTGGCCTCCGCCCACTGGATCCATGCCAGCAGTTCTTCCAGGAGCTCCGTGTTGGCCACGAGTTCCAGAAGCGCCGCTTCAAGCCGCTGCTGGTGCTGCTTTGCCCAGGTGAGAACCTGGAGAGAAACAGGCCAAGAGAAAAGGCTGAGAGGCAGAGAGGGCTGGGCATCTGGAGGGGCGGAGACAGAGGTCTGGAGCTGATTATTCCATGGGTGCAGAACACCCCACAATGAACCAAAGGGACCCCTTCGTCCGCCACCATAGGCCCAACTCAGTGGACAAGAAGCCAAAGTCCCCACAGCAACTCACCTCTTCGAACCGAGCCCGCATGATGGTGATCCAGTGTTTTATGGTGGTGACGCAGTCTGGGTGGCACACAGACAGGATGGCCTCCCCCATCCCCACCGCTGAGTTCACGTCCAGCCTTTTCTCCTCCACCTTCTTCATGAACTCCTGCACAAGGAGGGCAACCCACAGGCACTGTTACCCACGGCCCCTCTGCCCTGCCCTGGCCCCTCCTGCATCCCTGGGATGACGGCCCACCTTATGTACGTCGATGAGTGACTGCAGAGCTTCCGCATCGTCGGGCAAAGCTCCTCGGAAGCGGAGGGTCTGCTCGGCCTCCGAGAGCCACTCCAGCAGCTGGTGGATGGCTGCCCGGAACTCCTCGGCCTGGAAAGCAGAA